TTTTAGTCTCTACCAATTTGCCAAACCTTCGGCTCAGGAAGTGGTGGACCGCCGTCCTGTGCTCCTTGCTGTCATCAGGTCCAAACGTATAGGATGAGCCTCGCACTTTGGCGTCTATGAACCTGAAGAAGTCCTCTGCTTCGTCCTCTGTAACCAGCTGGGAGAGCTCTCTGTAGTCTGGGTCCTCCCTCACCCTGATCTCAGGCTGAATAGTGACAGTCATGAGGAAGGGGAAGCGGTGTCTGACAGCACGGTGGACGTTTGCCCTGTGGTGTTTGTCAGCGAAGTATCCCAGAGAGAGCTCCTGCTTGGTTGGCTTTTCGTCTTTGAGAGTCAACACAAACTGCTCAAGCTCTTCACTGACCGGCTGGCCTAAAATCACACTTAAATCAAAACTACCTGGACTAGGTATGGTGACATCTCCCCCACAATCAGCTGAATCATCAGGGTCCTGGGAGACTGAGTAATAGCTATTCTCCTTAAATTCTGCACTGGATTCATAGTTTGTATCTGAGGAGGCACAGGCTGGTGTCTGTGCTGCTGCTGCTGCTGCTGCTGCTGTGTTAACACGCTGTCCTGTGATGTCTAACTCAGTCACCACAAAGTCTTTGATTAAGTTTTTGATGCTTCCGAGAAACCCCTCATGGTTGGAGATGAAGCACGCAGGGACGTTCACAGCCTCACTGTCCTGCTTCATGGCGACTTCATCCAAACACTGCAGAGTTTTCACTTCTTCCTGTTGCTAAAACGGAACCAAACAGTCAGAGTTGGGACACACATTCAGAAGGTAATGTCAGAGGGCTTAGAGCGATGATAGTTGTTTTTATTTCTGCTCAAGCGTGGGTTATACATGCGAAACAACCCGCCTGTTTACAGTGATATCCGGATCAAACACATGAACCCTACCTCGGATTTGGTGACCTAGAGCTGCTGTACCTGCTATAACAAAGAAAGTAAACCCCGTTCCTGTCTTTAAATGGGGAAATGGATTTATTATGGAAGAATAATAAAAACGTAACTGTTTTTTTCTACTCATTTACTCAGTGGACCTGCGAGCGGCGCGTAAACGAGAAGCTGCTGTTGATGTAAACACAACAACGCTGAAACAACTCGGTCTACTTCCGCGTCATGTGACCGTCATGTGACTTTTCTTAAAGGGGCCGACGCAACAGCGGAGCAACGCTGTGTCACACTCACAACCGTCCTCCGTATAAACAACAACACTGCTGGTAGGAACTGAAATGACCTCGAGAAAATGGGGCATAAATGTGGAACTTGAATTGTTAATAAATCATTTTGATAGCACTAATTAAGTTATATTTTTGGAGTAATGATAATCTGATTAACTCTGGAACAGTTCAAATGGATGTAATAATAATAATAATAATACTCAAATATAATATTACCACAACATATACTGCAGCTGCGTTACACAGCAGAAATGAGTATACACACAAAGAATCCTTATAATTACTTCAATTGTAAAAAACACAAATAAATAAATCAAATAAATAAGACAAATTTCACATCTCAACATTTTTAAAATGGATTTATTGTAGATATCTAAATAAAAAAAAGGTGTTTTTAAATTGGTACAGTACATCCATTTAATAGCTTTTCTTTCAATCTTAGAGCACTCAGAAATAGCACTTTGAAAATCTGAAATGCTGAAGATCATGTGATATGACTGAAAGGCCTAGAACAGATATTAAATGGACCTTGTGGTGGGACTGTTTTGTCAGCAATAATGTTTTTCTCCATACACTGCAATCTTTCAGCAATATGTTATATTATCATTTTAATACACTATGGATCTTCATTACCGTTACTATGTCTGTGGTACAATTGTTGCTTTTATCTCATACAATCTGAATGCCTTTACTCACAGACGGCTACAAACACAATCCTATTCTCTAGAAATATGTGAAAAATCTTGATGCAAGACCTACAGGGAACACATGTCACCCAATGGGGGTGGTTTACTGGCACATGTTTTCTACACTTTCCCCCTCCCTTACTTTCCCACAGCATTCATTCTTTGGAAATAACTTCAACAATTCCTGGAAATAATGAAAGTAGCAATGTGCTGTACACACCGGGCAGGGGGAGTAACAAGGACCCTTTATACCCTTATATCTTATAGATACTCTTGAGATTATAGAATATCTAAAAGGATCATTGATCTTTTTAAACACATAAATCATCTCCATTCAACATAGTTTCATTCCATTTTTCCCCCAGGCCCCACATGCAGTGGCTTTATGTTCCACCAGTGGGGCCTGCTGCACAGTTTGAGAACACCACCTTACTGTAAGTGATCACAGAAAATGACATATCTGAGAGTTTTGAGCAACATGTGAGGAATGTATTTTAGCTTCTACTTCCACATACACTAACACCCAGTGGATTCGACTATGCCTGTGCTCAGCTCTGGGACAAGATTAAGATTATCTGCGAAAACTACAGCCAGTGTCTGACTGGAATGAAACAAGAGTGAGAGCGTATTTCTCCACAGTGAAGCTCCCTTTCCCGACTGTTGCTTCATTTCTAGGCTAGTGATTGAGATTGGTTACTTAACTTCCTGCAAACCTTGGAGCCACTCCAAACTGCACGATAATCACATTTATTGTAATATGTTTCTAATAATGGTGGTGCTGTTTTCAGCTGCTTTGGACCAGGGCCCTGAAAGAGTCTCCTCAGGAGAACATCTGCAGAGCATTTTGAAAACCAAGAATACCTGCTTCACAAACTTGAGATGTTTTTGCTTGTATATCAACAATGTGCTACTGAAACACCATGCTTTAATGATAGTGATGTACGTGTAATTCTTGTATAAAGATTCTCCATTTGACTGTTGAATCATCCTTCATAGTCATTCAGAGTAAACACAGCTGGAGCAGTGCTGATGTGCCCCAGAGGGCACAAAAACAATGGGAACTGGTGCTGGAACAAAGTGCTTATACAACTTCCTATCTACAGATACTGAAGTTCAACATGTTCAGCATGGACACACGGACACACACTTACACCTCCCATAAACATACAAAAGTTTTAGGGATACCACTCTCATATCTGTGGTAAACATGATGCTATAGCCAGCAACTGCTTAGCTTAGGTTAACAAAATGCACCTCCCAGCCCCTCTAATGCTCACTAACTACCATGTTATATCTTGTTTGTTTAAGCTATATGTGTCTGTGAGTAAATAAATAAAGAACATCAATAAGTGAGACAAGAAAGGAAACAATGTGACAGACACTTGTAAAACATGTAGAAACTAGGAAATATTAAATTATAAGTTCAAGAAAGTACCCAATGAAACAAGCGGAAACATTTTTGTAATGCTTATTTCCACATTTTCTTGTCACAGAAAAGTCTACTTATAATGTAAAGCCAGTAGGATGTTTACACAAAAGACATGAAAATATTTTCTGCATGGCTAAATCTGGTACATTTACATAATGGACTTAAGTCCTCATGTTAATTAATGTGCATTGTCCCTTTTTAAATAAATAAACTTAAAACTGAGGAAGATTAGGACTTAATTTAAATTTAATGCTGCAGATTTATTTTCTGGCATGTTATTGTTAAAGTGCACACAAAGTCAATAAAACTGATTAAATTTAAAATACTTTTTAAGGATAATCTGCTGTGGAAGCAACAACATTCCTCTATCCTTCACACTAACATTTCCCCACAAATACTCAAAATGTTGCTCCATGACCATTCAATTGTGCAACATTCATCTCTACAACAGAACTGATCCAAGCACCTCCAGTAAAGAGTTTTTGGACCCTTGCGTCCTTTCCGCCCACGAACATCCTCTGTGCCTCAGAATGTCTCTGTGCTTTCATGTCCTACAGATGTGTGAGTGCGTGCCAACAAACATATGCGCGTGCCAAATAGTTCTTGAATGTGCGCTGGTGACCGAAACATTTGAAAGCATGTGACACCATAAAAAACTAATGCAGACATCCATTCGCACGTGCATACAGTGTGTGTTGTGTGCATTCATCATTCTCTCCAGATGTTTTTATGCTCCTCCTTCAGGAGATGCTCCACTCTGAATCTGCTTTCACAATAGAAAGTGTTTTTCAGAGGAACTGTAGGGATTGATAATGTTGCTCCCATGTGTATCTGCGTGTGTGTGTGTGTGTGTGTGAGAGAGAGTGAGCTGCAGATAGAGAAATGGATGGACAAGTTAACTGATAAATAATTAGATGTATGGATGGTGCAAGTGTGTGTCCGTATGTGTGTGTGTGGGTGGGATTCTGATGAGAGATCATGTGATGCAGCTTCTCACTAGTTCCTTTGTTCGTCCAAGACAACAGCAGACAAAAGGTGCTTTATGGGGGAACGAACGCAAGGCACTTTCAGTCTTACACACATAGCCTATAGACAAATAAGATTTTCCCTCTTTCATGCGTCTTTGAACTCAATTTGAGAGCTCTGTTTCTAATTCAAAAAAATAAAAAAATATGGAACACATCAACATCCCTTCAGGGACACATTTATTGCATAATGTGCCCACTTTGTAGGCTATAACTCTTCAGGATGAGTCCTCCAAACATAAAGTCCTGTCTATTATCAGCTTCAAAACAACTCCTTATACCAAATTGCTATAGAACTAAATCAGACAGCCGGTATCTATCCTTCTGTTTCCCACCAGGCAAGCTATGCTAGAACATAACATAGTTTGGTTGCTACGTAAAGGACCTTTCCTAGAACCAGATCTCCCAATGCACATTTAAGCACCATTTTGAGAGTGAATTCATCTTTATAACAAACTCATATATATATATGTGTGTGTGTGTGTGTGTGTGTGTGTGTGTGTGTGTGTGTGTGTCATTGTAACAAACTTGAGCAGCTGATTCCATGCTACAGACAGGTGCCCATAAATCAGAATATAACCTAGAATCACTTTTTTCAACTATTAAAAACCTCTCCAACACCACCCACACACATACCCTGCCCCTCTCTCCAGATGAGGAGGAAATCCTTCCTCCCCCCCGCTCAGCCCAGAGGTCCCTCCGCCCAGTCTTTATTAAAATCAGGGTTCTCCACAGCATGTGGATTTGTTCTTTTGGAAAACTTTAAACTGGATTAAATGTGTTGACCGCAAAGCGAAACAAAATGGGGAAAGTGAACGTTTGTTTGAAACGGAGTTACATTATCGTCACAAGTTTGATCGCGGTAAGTGTGTGTGTTGTTTTTCCGCTGCTGCTGCCACAGGAAGGTGCAGAAGTGTATTGCATTCGGGTCCAGCTCCCCAGCGGAGCTCCGGGGGGGTGAACCCTGCATGCAGCCCGCTGGAGCTGCTGGAGGCTGGATACAGGATTTGGGTTAGACCCTGGGCGTGCTGGAGGTATCTCGTTAATTCAGAAAAACAGAGCAGAATTTTAAGCTTTAGATATAACTAAGCCAGCTGTTGAATCAGATGCTTAACTCTACTAGTTGAATGGTTAAATTGCTTCCAGTGCAACTTATTCAGTCATGTGTTAGTGTGTCTTAATTGTTGATTATGGCACAAAACTAGTGGGATTATGAGATGTTTTAAAAAAATAATAATAATCAAAACTTGTGTTATTAAACAGTTTGGGGAGGAAGTCCACCCCCAGTGCATGAAAAGGAAAATGGACATGATGGTGTAGTAAAAACAAATCCCTCCAGGATATATACACATAACTGTTCTAATTCATAAGGTTTCAGCAGTGAGGAGCTAATAAAGTTCAGTAATCATACACAGTTGGACTCTCTTTACACACTGTGGGAGCAACACGCACGGTCTTCTTCGGGGTGTGGCCACAGAGCTCCTACAGCAGAAATTGACACTGTAATGTCTCACAACTGATGACAACGATTAACAATGTTATTGAGCCAGTAACAGCTGACGTGGAGGGTCAGCACAGAACACATGGAGTATACACCGTCAGCACAAAAAGTCATCTCAGAGGTTAGGTCAATCAATGAGCTTATTTCACAACAAGTTTCAGCAGGGGAGGCCGTCCTTTCAGTGATAAACCCAACAATGCAATTTGCCATTTACTTTTTCAAGAATTTTGAAAGCACAGTGAAAGCAAGTAATTACTCATTATTAAGGCTGTATGACTGATATCATTATCGTCTGGTCTGAAACCCTGGGAAGTCGCAGTGTCACATTGCAGGGCTAATAATTTACAACCATACTCACCAATACCCGATGCAACATTTTAGCCAGTATTGTAAAAAAATATATATTAGACAGATTGATGGATAATAAAAACAAATAATTAGTCACAGTCCAGAAAGGACGCTAATAAATAATAAAGTGTTGTGTTGTTGCAGATCATCAGTGCCCTGCTGTTGGCACTCACTCTGTTTGGCCATGGATACCACTATGAACATGATGAGGTAACACATGCATTACAAATAAAAAATAATAATACAGATGTCAGTATCTATCTGTGTATAAATGTATCTGCTCTATGTGTCTATATTTCTGTCTATTATGAGTGGGCCATATGCATAAAATCTTCTAGTATGTTATATGTTATTTTTGTATCATACAGCATACAACTTAAGGGATCATATCAGTGGTTTTGCATATGTATTTTAGCATGCCATAATGTCTCATTAACCATTTTTCAAACCATGTTTCTGTATTTTAGTACTTTTGCTATTTCAGGCATCCATTAGTAGACTAGTGACAAAACAAAGCAAGTGTCAGCTGAATGATATAGTAGTATACATAATTCAATGAAGAGCATACACTTGTAAAAACACTGGTTTAATAACTATGTGTAAAGTAAGCCCCTTCTCATTATTTCCCTGATTTGTATATTCCTGCTGTGTAGTGCACACACGTAATGGCAAACTCACTCACTGGTGACTTTAAAAAGTCCAACTCAAAACTCAAAAACAATTCAGCTGCATGCTGACACAGGGCATTGAACCCTTACCCTGTTCACCAGCCTGGCTGACCTGATTCTCTGTTTGTTTTCATTGCAGATAGAGAATATGCTTGTAGGCATACGTGTCATGTATTTCTTTTCCATCTTTCCTCTGTTCTTGGCCATCATGGGTGTGTATGGTGCCTGTGCAGAGAAGCAGTGGGCGCTAATAGTGGTGGGTAAAGAAAGAACACATTATTATTATAGTAGTAGCAGTAGTAGTAGTAGTAGTAGTAGTAGTAAAAAACTGCTAACTAAACCAGAATCTGATTGATAATGCGTGTTTATGTGTGTGTTTCTGTCTCAGTTTGCAGTTGGGATGATCCTGAGCAGTCTGTTCGTGTTTGCGTCTTCAATTCGAGCACTGACTTTTCTACCATTGGTATTTCCAAGTTGACACTGAGACGTGTTGTTCTTTTGTGACATTTTCTTTTTGTCCCAGTGCACATTTGCACATATGAAGACTCATAAAACCATATGAGCTAGCAAACTGCCTTCCTCATTAAGCTAATAGACTCTTGACTACTGGATTGGGTTGGCTAAATGCCATCCCACTTACTGTTATTGCTGCCATGCCTGTCAATCACATATGCTGTTTACGGGAATGACAATGAAAGATTCACCCTCAGAATTAGATGTAATCTCTGAAACAACTGATAACAAGGAGTAAACAAAAGCAGGCTTGTTGTTTCTAGCAGACTCCATAGATTTTGTTGGCTAAAATGCACTCTGATTACTAGCTGATTTGATCAGCTGTAAGCAAAGGCTAATGTGAGCTGGTTGAACCATCGACATATAAAAGATGGACAACATCACAACTCACTAAAAGGAAGCCAAAAAAATCTTGATCGCCCTCTGTTCGCTGACTGCAGTTTAGGTTATAAAGCCTGCTGCCTCCATGTTTGCAGATGGGCCAAACTAAACAAATACATTTTTCCCAAAGATAGTTTCTTTTTAGGTAGTTCTAATCACACTAATATATGTTCAAGTGTTGTTTCACATCATGATAGAAAGATGGTAGCTGCCATGTCCGGGGTATTTTGGCTTCATTTTTGTACAGTGGGAGGAAGTGGAGATGCAACATCCATCCTTTTTTTTTATCAATGGGTTGAACAATCACTTATTTACTGACTCCAGCTGATTTGTTTGTGAAGGAAAAGCCTGTAAAATTAGATAAAATTTGCACATTATGCTAAAAGACATGCCACATTATCATCAGCTGATGATCCATAGAAGATGGATGGAAAATGTATTTTGTGTGTATAATAGTGGTAGATAGCTGTCTGGAGGCAGGGATTAGTATTAGTAATAGTCAATTGAAATCAGAAAATAAGTTGGTTGAGTACTCAAAAATTCAGAATTTGAACTGTAGTACCTGACTGACACCTTCCAATTTTAGATTTAAATTACTGTAAAACAAGCATGAATGCATGTACGCATACTGAATGCATTTTGTGAATCACAAATTTGCCCAAAAAAAACAAATTACAGTAATATTTAAATTGCTAATGATCACATTTTTTTAATATTACTTTGTTCTGTTGTGCAGATGACTAAAGAGATGAAGACGCAGTACCTGGAATTGCTGCCACTGGCTAATGCTAGTGAGAGTACTTTAGACAACCTCAAGGAGACAGAGACAGAAGTAGGTAACCTTGTGTGGGTATGTGAGAGTGTGTGTGCAGTTATCAAGTTGCTGCTTCGCATACAGAAGCAGCTTCAAGTGCTTTAGAGTTGATCTTAAACATTTCAGTAGCATAAATCAGATGCAGCTCAGAAAATAAGCTGAATAGGTTATTAGTATGAAGAATCAGGAGGTGGAGGTTTGTCTTACTATGTACACTATTCTAATCTTCTCCCATTCCTTCCCTCTTCCTTCGCAGTGGCATTGTTGCGGAGTTTTTCAGGGCTATCTAGATTGGGGCTACAACATCTCAGAGTCCTGCCTGTGCGCTGAAGAGCCCATTAACCCATGTGTGAGTGTGAAAGCTCATTATTCACTTCTATTCACTGGTAAAAAAAAAAAAAAAAGAATGCAATATATCATTGTGGATCAAGTTTAAGAATGCAAGAAAGTCAGAAAAGACCCCCCCCCGTTAATGTAAAGGATCCCAAGCCATCACTTTCATGTTCCCCCAGGATGAATTCTAATGACTGATGATCCCTTAGACTTCCTATCACCATCATCAGGTTAAAATTTGGAATTTGTCCCATATTAACCTTTAAAACTATAATTTTATTCCCATTAGTAAATGTTAGAATGCTAACACGCGTAGCTAAGATAGTGAACATAGTAAAGCCACTAATGATCAGCATGTAAGCTTTAAATGTTGTTCTCTCCATGTTGTTTTCTTGACGCAGGAGATAATGATTCATGTCTGTGTATTGTAGGTGGAAGCTCCTAGTAACAGCAGTCTGTTTGAGCACAGGGTTGATGACACGCCCATCATGATTTATAAAGAGGTAATAAAAATGTAAATGTTTGTGTCTACATTTACATGTGTAAACTGCGTATAATTCTTAGTGTTCATTGATTTTTTTAAGATTTAAGATTTTATGTTTAAATAAAGGTGGTACAATGTTTTTGAATTTGGCTCAAAACAGGACAAACTTTACATTAATTCTGAGCAAAAACACTTAACTATAAAGTAAATGTTCCAACCTGTTCTGTATTGCTGTATAGGGCTGCATTTACAAAACCTCCCTATGGAGCGTAATACTTATAAAAGAAGGGAAAAACGTTTTTATTAAATATTCTTCCTGTACTCTAAAACAATGGTTTCCAGCTTTTTTGGATTCTGACACCTTAAAATGAAGCAATACAAACTTGAAACTCATTGTCACTGGTTTTATATGTTTACCGGTTGTTAACCTGCAGATATGTTTGGTTTATTCAGTTGTTTTGTTTGTTTGACATTAGGAGTATCCTGAATGCTTCTTATTAGTTTAAACTACAAACACGTTTTACAGTGAAGATGCTGTATGAGACATTACATTTATCTGCTCTTCTGTTTCAGCCATGCGCTCCACTCATAATTCATATGGTAGGGATTACAGGAAATATTACACTGGTTGTAGCGCTGGGATTCTCATTACTCTGGGTATGTATGTGTCTATCATGATTGTCCCCACCTACCTGCCTCCTTACACTAACTTGTTCATTCATGGTCATTGTGATGTTCATTCCTTTTTAATTGACTCACTTGATTTTAAAGCCCTTATTAAGTATAATTCATTGCTGTTGACAAAATCACAAGTAGCACTACTGGTGCTTTTTAATAGTTTATCAAACCTAAAAACATAAGGTGGATAGATCATTTTAAATGGTGTACTGTTTTAAACTTAATATGTGAATGGAACAAGAACTTTCACAATATCAACCAAATTACAGCAGGAATTATAGCAACAAGGGCATGATGTCTATGTCTCCTTCCATTTTTAAAATCCAAAATCCTGAATACCTGCACCAAGTACTCAGGGTACACACACACAGACGTCAGCAGGCCTTTTTCACAGCAGACATTTTGATTTGTGATAGCAGGAAGAGCACAGGTGAAGAGCATTGATGATGAAATCATAGATAAATGGCATTCAGCCTGTGTTTTTTTTTTCAGTCTTTCCTGCCCCCCTCTGTCTCTTTCTAAAATTGCAGCTCTATTCAACAAAAGATGACAAGTTGGTTAAAGAACCTTCTCTGTGTCGCTGTCCTTTTAGGCATTGTCAGCAGCGTTGTGTATTGCCATCTTGTGTCAGCTGAATCGGAAGGAAGATGTCCCTGCAGTGGTCTACAGTGCGGAGGCAAAAGCAGGCAACTACAGCGCTCTCGCAGATTCTGCAGAGTACACCTGATTTCTTTGTTTTTATTTTTATCTGCTCTTCACAATAATGAAGGTCATCATATCAGCATATTTAGCAAAGCGGAGAAAAAAAAAACATGGGATTGGTACACGGATACATAGTGGAATTTATTATGATGCTTAAATGTATCATGCATTGCATGAAAGTTGCATGGGTTTTTATTTCTTTCCCAAGTGTTTGGGATCAAAAAAACCTTCATCCAGGAAGAAACATTGTTTTTCTTACAAAGGGAAAATTGTGGGCTTTGCAGCACTGTGAAATTGTATTCCACTTTCTTTGTTATAATCAAAAATTATGAAATCTAAGATACATAAGTGGCACATTTACAGAATAATGAATGAATAATATGTAATTAATCAATTACAAGCTTCACCTACATTTCCTTCCACTGTCTTCATTGGGCATTAGATATTTCAAATAAGAATTGAAGTGATAAAATTAATACATTTGCACTCAATTTCATCCTAGATTGGAATTGTACTTTAGCTCATTTGATTTATGATGTAAGTCAAGGAAGAAAATGTTGTTTTTTTTTAAATCCCTGATAGATATGACGTCTTGATTTTTTTTTTTTTTTACTTTAGCATGTATTAGAGCTTTAATAATTGTACTTTATGGTTTAGTAGCTTTCTGAAATGCTCTGTATCATATTCTGCCAAACTTTATGTAAACTTTGTTTCTCTACTTGTCATTTTATAGTCAATGCATATTTACAGGATTTCATTGGTATTGCATGACAATAGTGTTTCCAGGATCAGGCGTTTGTTTGTCTTGATCAAGACAAGAATACAGATAATCTAGATGCCAAAGAAGTAAATCCAAATGTCTAACCTGTTCTTTAGTATTGCTGAGTCCTGGCCTCCCTCATCTCCTGCATAAAAGGTTCAGGGGCTTATCCTCGTCCCTCCACCTCCCAATCAGGTGTCAACTGTGTAACCTTACAGGTAGTACAAGTACCACATGATTGTACTTAAGTACAGCTGAGTAAATGTATGTTTCTAAGAAACAATTTCAAATAAAAACTAAGACATCAAAGGAACAAGAATCACATTTTATTCCTGCTATTTACAAAATATTACATAAGTTCATTCCATAAATAAAAAAACAGTGTATGACAGAAATAAAAATACCATACTTTGCAAGAACATACTGTATATTAGGCATTAATGGTTAAAGTGCACAGGTAGACATTGGATCTGCTGTTCCAGATGAAAATCATTTGACAGTACGTTAGTCAAGGAGACATTTCAACCGCAGGCAGCTCATGCAGCAAGTCATATTAGAAGTGATGTGGCATAAAGGCTTCTTCGGTGAGAGTGGCATCAGTTGGGACATTCCAGTCTGCAAGAATATTGATGACACATTTTCCTACAAGAGCCTCTCACAACCTGTCTGCAGTGGTCAATGCCAACATTTCTCCAAACCTTGATATCAAAATTTTGGAGGCAAAATAATTGAGGATTTACCGTATGTCTACTGAATGTGCAACCAATCAGAGTCCCCTCTCCTCCTAGTGGACATGATCACGTATCTCACTAAATGTGCTTTAAGAGAAACTGAATAGAGTGATGAGGTTTCAAATATACAATGTGCTTATTAACAAGGCATCAAGACATTCGGGTGTCCCAATGAGAGCTGTGGCTCATTCCTTTGTCTAACCTGATTATTTACCCAAGAAAATTACATTTATGCTCAACAATAAATAAATGATTATATTTCAATCAAAGCACTTTGTAAACACTGTTTAAGAAAGGTGCTACATAAGGGTTACTCATATTATTATTTGTTCAACGATTATTGGTTTCTCTAATGCTGTAAATTCAATGAGTGAGCTTAAGATGAGTATGAATATTTAAATATGTATGTTTAAAAGAAGTTGGTCCAGTCGACAAAGTGTTAAAATTAAAGCCATTAGTTGAACTTCCAGTGATATTTCTCTGCTTCCACTGGTGATAGAATTTTAGCATCAATTGTTGTGCTATGATAAATTGTTTGAAAGTTTTAGGTACAGTATCTAGCTATTATCTGTCTTTCCATAGACTCACTGATGTGTCGAGGTATGAAGGAAATGGAGAGAAGGAATATTATCCAGATAAGACAACACTTACTGTAAATAACAAAATGCCAGGATAGGCTCCAGCTACTCAAAGAAAACAAACAGCTGCTTAATTCTGGGAAGAATAAAATAATTTTAGAGATATGACAAAAGCATGTGAAAATGTGATGATTATTAAAGATTAATTAATTTCATTAAATTGCACTGTTTTTTTTACAGCAGTAAGGCAAAAAAAGACATTTTAAACTGACCTATGCATGTAGATTACTTTCCAATATCAGTAACATGCATTAACACGTATTCATAGAAAATTATAATGTCAACATATGTCGATATAGCACAAAATAGCCAGATTATGGTATACAGCATAACGTGTTTACATGTGCAAATTCAAACAAGGTACTCTTGATAATAACTTGAAGTGTATCAAAATGTACTTGGTGACTAGAAGGCACCCGGAACATATCTGTTTGATTGGAGAAGAGCCATGAACTCCTGTTTCCTTTTTATCTGGCCCATCAGCTTGATGCTCATGACAAGTAAAACCACCTGGGAAAGGGAAGCACAAGAGTTACAAGCACGCTATGGTGTCTAGTGATGGTTACAACAGGGATCCACATGATTTTCTGCTGACCTAAGATCGAATCTGACCACCAGAGCCCTTGTGTACTATGTCTAGTCATAACAGAAATACTTTATTTTTGTATTTCAATAATAAAACGAAAAAAACGAACATACCCAAAACACTCCACTTCCAAATTGTATACCCATCGCCAATGAGAACGCAAGCTTCAGTTCAGAAACATAAATTGGTAGGCAAGGCTGTGGAAAAAAAGGGTGCAGGGCTATGTTAAAGTTAGAGAGAAGATTGGTGGGAAAATAAGAGCTTGGACCACTAAGCCTGTATACTTTTCTAAACAATCTGAAAATCTTTTACCTCTTGATAAACATACTGGTTCTTCGGAGCCCCAAGTGTGGCGCTGCCTCGTAGTCGAATCTGGTGAGTACAAAATCCCATTACATAATGTGACAAAAGGCCAAAAAAAGCTCACTATAGTGCTGAAAAATGGGTGCCAGTAATATTAATATGAGGATCATTTCAAATTTAAGGACATTTTCTGTTCCTTTTACATCCTGGGTCTTATTTACATAGCTTTGACCATCACTCCTATCAGTTATTATAACATATTACTTCCAAACTCTGCTATGATCTGCAGCCGAACTGCAGAGCTACTTCAAGGGTACTGCTTTAATAAACATTAACTAAACAAGTAGTTTAGATAACAAATTTAAACTGGAAACTTTATTAAAAAAAACCTGTTTGCATGTTACTACACTTATTGCTTGTTTGCATTGATAAGTATAGCTGACTGTCATTGTTGAAGCCATATTACATTTCCATGTCTGTTTGTTTTCATAAGGACAGCTATATTTTTACATTTTACATCTTATATTTTTGTATATATTGGAATCTTTTTCAGCTCTGCTGCAGTACTCAAACACATACATATCTTTTCCTTAATTTTGTTTACATTATATGTGGTCATTTAAAACACTTATTGGTATTAATCATTTTGTGTTGTGTTGTACCAAGATCAGCTGCTTTGTTTTAATCTATTTTCAATCAATTTTCTTTGGACCTTGCTGTCACAGTTGTATCAATGCTTTATTTGGTTAGTTTTTGTGAACCCAATAGCAGAAGCATCTCTACTGGGTATCCAGTAAAATAAACAAGACTATTGACTGTTATTAGAATTAGTGTTATTGCCTGAAAGCAATGATGACCATTAAAACCAGGTAATTAAATAAAAATAAATTCTCCCTGAAGTACACTTGACTGAGAGACAATGTGTGGCTACAGCAACAAACTCCGAATGAGTCATCTTCACTGCTTATATTCTGCTCACATCAAGGGAGATACTCACGCATTTTCCTGGATATTGACAGTTACAGGAAGCAGGGATGGAAGAGCCCCAGTCTTTGTAGCCTTCAATAAGACCACAACACTCAAACTGGAGGTGACACACACACACACACACACACACACACACAGTAAAAGGTAAGTCCAAAACAAATAAACCAGAAAAAAATGCATGACACAGTATAATGAAGAACTGGAACATATTATGTCTGCACCCTTGAATGATGCATCCTTTATTTGGATAATTCAGTTAAAGGTTTCAACAACACCAAGTGTAGCAATTTAGCTTGTTTGTGATCATAGATCTTGGCATTCCCATCATCCCTCACATTTGAGTTAAAAATCACGACCTTTTCCATATATTGGTTGGATTAGAACTGGGGTGAATTCCCATGGGAGCGTAAGTAGATACCACTTTAAGAAAAGACACACCTACTTCCCTGGCCACGCCCCAAAGACTACATATACTGCTGGTGTGTGTGTGTGTGTGTGTGTGTGTGTGTGTGTGTGTCTGTCTGTCTGTCTGTCTGTCTGTCTGTCTGTCTGTCTGTCTGTCTGTGTGTGTGTGTGTCTGTCTGTGTTGGGGGTTAGCATTTATAAGAAAGTCTACCAAAGGGTTAGACTGGGTGCCTGTCTTCTTTGGGCAGACTCCCACGATTTCTGTTCAATGTATTCTATCTTTTAAGTATTCTGGCGGCTTTCCTGCTTTTCTTTCTGTCTCACGTGGCAAAGAAAATGCCCCAAAAGTACCTCTAAGCTAGCTACTGCTATTTGTATTAGTGAGCTAAGATAATCACATTATGCTGGTTGTAAACAAGGAAGTGGAAGTCTAATCTGAAAACACAGATGTGATGCTCATATCTTTAAATTCAGTGCAACTTGTACCTTTTATCTTATATGATGTCTGTCGCAAAAACGCATCCATAAACCCCGTTAGAAACCATGGGGGGAAAAGATGTTCCTAAAACTCCCCAACTTGCCTGAAAACTGTCAGGTTTCCAAGTATTTGTCAATATCAAAGTAATCCAGTGATGTCTGTCCATCTATGGGTGCATTGCAAACGGCATACGGCATTCAATGTTGCCATTTTGCCAAAATTTGAACAAAATGGTTAAAAAACCTAACTAGCTTACTGGGTCCATGGGAACATTTATACTTCATGTTTACTTATATCAAAGCATTATGGGAAGCCCACATTTCAGTGAGACAAAGGATAATATCAGGAGTGACAAAAGCCATTAGTAGTCACTTTTTCTCATGTTACACTGAGAAAAAGTGTCTTCACTGAGGGAACCAAGGTTAATTTAATTTTAAATCGTTCTACAGTGTATGTTAGATCTGTGCTGACCTGTTATCTGAGATATATATATATATATATATATATATATATATAAGCTTTATTGGACAAATGTACACACCATTTAGTTGTGTGGTGGACAAAAATTATACCCTAGAAAGTAGTTTTACTTCTCTCTCCAAGAAAGAGGGGATGTATTCTCCGGATTTGTGTAACATGAAACTCAGCCCAAGTGAAAAAAACTGCTTACTTCTTGTTGAATACTATACAGCAGTGTCCTGTTGGCTTTGCTGGTTCCAGTAAGTGGCATCATTGACAGCAACTTGGACTCCTCGCGGACCACACGTTTCTGAAGAGGGAGATCGACATACTGCAGTTGAAGCTGCTTTTTGATAGCTGTATTTTGTACAACAGGATTAGATTAGGTATTGTGAAAGGGGCGTTCAAGTACTATACCTCATAAACATCTTGGTAACTTAGTGCCGTTCTAACAATTATTGTTTGACTGGCTGCCGCCATCCCAGCTGCGTACTGCACACACACATAAATCAACAATAGGAAGTGAAACATCATTTTTTAACACATGTATACATTATTATGAAAGGAATATCTTGAATTGGTTTTTACCAGAATCAAACACCATCTTTTTCCTGTACAGGCTCCAAACACACCGAGCACTGAGAGCAGCAGGCAGCCGATCTCCATGATGTACATTATCACTACAGAAACATTGGACACCAGCTGAGGAGAGAAATAACACTGGCATTAAAGCAATACATTGACTGGCCAACAATTCTTGTTTTATTTAACAAACTAACCTAAGATTAAAGCATCTGTGGTAGAATTCATAGGAGATATTCACTTACACTTAATATTAATATTACATTGTCGCCACAGATGTATTTCCAAGCTAGCATAGCTACAAAAGAGGTCAAAGGTCAGGGCTAGCTACAGAACAGCACTCTCAGCGCCTGAAGATAATTCACTGTCTTGCCCAAGGACACTTCAACTGGCAGGTGCTTGCCAAAGTGAGGGCTGGAACTCAGGTCTTCCAGAGAAAAGACAATATAAAAATGCTGTAGTGGTCAGGCACTATTGATGGAAGACCAAGCAGACCCATGCATTAATAATAATTCCCCAGTCACCCTTGGATATCACAGCAACTCCTTTGCTCCTTTAAATCCTGACAAGACAGGAGCTATTTTTGCCTCCAATAAGTATTATCTGCTTACAGGAAATAATTTTTTATTCTGTCAGAAGAACAGTCTTACTTTGCCAGTTTGTATCAGGTCTCTATGCCAAGCTACTGTCATGGTCAACATGAAGAAGCACAGCGCCTTTTGGAGAAAAGATAGGAACATAAAAATGTGTTAAGTTTGCAAACTACTTCAAGTTAATAATACACATAAAGAAATGGAAAGAAATGGAAAGAAATATAGTAGGTTTACAATGCCAGTGTCTCTAAATGTGTGTCCAATCTATAAATACACTTGTAAGTATCACCAGCTGTTTTTAAATGTGTGCTGCCTTTAGGTGTCACCTTATAGAGGAGCAGTATGGGGCTAATGGAAGGCATTCTACCCAGGGTTAGCCTAAAGCTGAAATAATATACATTGGACACATGACTCTAAAGTCACACACTGTAAACATGTAGCATTATAAGAATATGACAGATATTCTTTGAGGGGAGAGGTCGGTGTGAGGAGGGACGGAAAAGGATGCTTATCCTCTGTAGATGCACATTCTAACCTGCACTATGGCGTCTTTTTTATACAGGTACCAGCAATTTTCTTCCTTTTCATGACTTTCTTAAAACATTTAGTAATAAAATGCACTGCAGACACACTGTACATCATTTTGACGGAGGGGGGTTCGCTGCAGCACGTTTGTATGTGAAACACAGGCTATAGCACAAGGTTTATTTATAATAGACCGATGGTTTGGGTCAAAATAACATCAGCAAATCAAACATTTAATCAGAGGTATGGTCTATAAAAGGCAAACAAACAGGCCTCAAGGATTAAATTGCATTCAAAAGCAGTGGAAATTCACCTACCATATGCACAGCATTTGCAAAAATAAACGGCCTTTTCAGGCTGGTTTTGTCCGCCACCACGACCACTGCGTTCCGCTGCATGCTGCTGCTTCTCTCCAGAGCTTTAAAACACCCTTTTACATAAAGACAATTTTTTGGCTACAGAGCTGTGAGTTTTTTTTTCCAACAGTAACGGCATCTATGTCTCTATCTATCCGCACAGGACGTCACTGTGATGTGCTGGATGAGGATGCTCTGCGCCGCTTTCACGTGCAGTCGGAAATATTGGAATCCGGAGGATTAGCGCACAGGAATGATGTTCAGCCATGATTAAAGGAATTAATACAGGAGTGAAGGGTGCAGTTAGGAGCAGGGCCGTCGCCAGGATTATAAAAAAAATACTGATCACCCGTCAGCACAAACAAATGGTTGACCTAAATCCCCCGCAAAACCAACAATACAGTCACTAAAGGTCACTTTTTTTAATTATGTGGATTTTTACATTTTATTTATTCATTTAACTAATGGATTATAGTTTCTGTAAGTTTTGTTTCCAAAAATGAAAGCTCCCCACAGGTTTGCAAAACTAACAAAGGTCTATAAATAAAAAATTCAAATACAATGGAAGTGACCTCAGTGTCCCCAGCCCTGAAGCTTCCTCATTTTCATCTTCCTCATACAGCTCTTAATAGTGAGTGGGAGTTCTACTACTTCCATCTGCTGATTGTGAATTTATACATCAGTTATGGTAACATATTTTGGTTGTTAAAGTTATTGCTTATACTCTAGTGATATTTACTTGTACATACATTTTTACTTACCACTATTTGCCTCTATGTGAGTCCATAATGACAGCATGGAGTGTGCAAAATAACATGTTGTATAATTTATAGTCATTTAATAATATTAATAATAACTAATCTTGATAAATGTACACAGTCAGACATATGGGGGGGGCAATTGTTTATGGATTTTGCGGTTGACCAGAATTTAAAATAATGTTCTGAGAGTTGCAACAGGCATTGAGTCTGTGAGAGTTGAAGAAATGTGCTGACTTCCTGGCAAAAAAAAATGACTGCAATTCCCAGGATCCCACAGTGGTAATGGGGCTGGGCTACTTCCCTAGAACAGGTAGGGCGGGTTTCTATTGTTTCTACAGGTGCTATGAGAGAGAGAGTGAGAGAGAGACGCAGGAGGCTGTAAGTCAGTAAGAACAGGAAAAACTGATGACAGACACTGAGATAAAGAGAGAGAGAGAGAGAGACCGGCTGATGGAGGAAAAATGCTGACACGTGAGCGAAAGAACAGCAGGTGGATTGGACAGGAACCTGGAGTACAGACACACATCTTTTTGAATTGCATTTTATTTAAAGGAAGTGTTTATTTGAGAGGAAGCTAACCAGAACCCGTGCAGGTGGACAAAAAGGATGGGATGTGTATTCATGCTGCCTTTTGCTGTGGGCCATGAATTGGGTCAACACCTGAGAAGGAGCTGAAAGGAGCAGCCGAGACTGAGGCAGTTTTGTCCTTGCTGAAAGAGCACAAGAGGGGGAGAGACAGGCGGAGCTGGCTGGAGACACAAGACAGAGAGAATGCAGAATTATTATTAAGAAAATTTAGCTTTTAATGACTGAAAACAGGCACAGTTGATTCTTCCATATTGTTGCTTGTGTGCCTCATAATTTACAATGTGTATGATCTAAATTATAAAAAAAATTGTAATTTTAAAATTTCTCACCGTTGAAGAATACCATTTTACTCCCTGACAAACAAACTTTCTCTCAACTGTAAACTGGTTTTACAGGTTACATGTGGACCAATTTGACTAAATGTACTGCTGCTGGAATTCTAGCCTGGAGACAGCTTTCACTGGAAGGAGAAACTGTGGAATAGGATTGCAGTTTTTTGGGGGGGGTTAGTAGTTTTTGTTTGTTTTTTGGATGAAACTCCTCAACATAATAGCATTTTAGGATCCATTTTCTTTCCTATGACTCAGCCTTTATTCAAGCATAAAGATAACCCAGCATCTCTTGGCCTAAAAGTCCAAGCATTCCAAGTGATCTACAGTACATTTCCTCCATTCTCTCACATTCACCTCCGCAGAAAAAGACTCTGCCTCCACCATGCAGACCCTAGGACCTGAACATGATGACTCTTTTGATTTCCTGTTTAAGATCATCCTGATCGGAGACTCTAACGTAGGGAAGACCTGCGTGGTTCAGAATTTCAAGTCCGGGATTTTCTCAGAGAAACAGCAGAACACCATCGGAGTGGATTTCAGTGTACGAACCGTGGACATAGAGGGGAAGAGAGTTAAGGTTAGTGTGTTGTGTATGACAGTGTGTGTGTGTGTGTGTGTGTGTGTGTGTGTGTGTGTGTGTGTGTGTGTGTGTGTGTGTGTGTGTGTGTGCGCAGTGGACCATGGGGAGTCTTTTAGGGTATGCATATTTTCAGGTGGTGTCAGTGCAGAACATCAGAGCCCCCACATGCAGACCTGTACGTGATTAACAGAAGTCATTAACAGAGTATATAAAACAGCTTTAATAAGAGTTACATAATTCATAGACTGAAAGGTACTGTCAAAAATGTAGAATAAAGTGCAGATTTGGAATTATAAAGGAATAAAGAAGGATTATAAGACGTGAGTACTGCAAATCTTCATCTTCAACATCTAATAAGTATTGAATTCAGTTTCCTAAACGGCCTAAGAAGGTATTAAAAAGTCTTACATTATGAAGGCATGAAATGTTATACACTTATACATTTGTGGGATTCTTTGGATAGTGGTTGGAGGCGGTTCAATCCTTTTTTGTGGGTTTCATCTCATAATAAGTGTTGATTTTAGCAAAAGCTTAAATAAATTCATTATTTTTAATTAGTTAATCCACCCATCCTCAATCTGGGTCCAGGTCACTTTAATTTAAGGAGTAATATAAATTGGAATTATTAGTGTATACTTAATAAGGATAATAACAACCAGTCCCCACTGGTTTTCAATCATATTTTAGCACTGGGAATTAAGTTGCATTCTATGTGGTATTAAAGATGTTTTTAAAAGTCTTCCATTTAACTTGGTGACCCTGTATGCTCCAGGAATACCTTCTAAATGCCCTGATCCTTATCATGGGTGTTGTGGAGTCAGCTGGCTCTGACAATGACAGGCCGCCCAGCATGGTTACAGGCCTTTTTGGTAACATATTTAACTGACAAGTATAGCATAAATTGCAACTCCGAAGGTCCACTCAGATGTGATGGACTTTTCTAGGTTTGGGGGTAAATTACGCCACAGTGAGAGGTGTCCTTTGGTTGCAGTGTCAGTTAGAGTCCCAAACAAGTCAGACCGGCTGCTCACATGAAGGACCTGTCCTTCAGGTTTTTCTACTCTACTCTAGCCTTTGTGCAGACAAAAATAAACCTGGAATGACTTTTCTGCGCTGTCATTGAGCTGGAAAGGGAACTAAATGCTTTAGTGTGGACAGTGATTGGTTCCGCATGCATCAAAAGTCAGTTACCTGAGAAAATAATAAAGCCTGTGTTCATTCAGTTAAATGGTGGCTTACACCTTTTCTATCATCATTAATAAACTCATGTGCAAACTGATTATCGGTATCGATCAATGGGGTCACACATATATACTCTCCTACTCATAATACTAACAGGTATGGGGTAAGGGAAAAAGTACTTTTTCTGCATTGATATTTCAAACTTTACAACCTTTTTTAAAAGTGTCTCTTTCTGTAACTATCTCACAAGGATTATCTGGATTTGTCATAGCCAGGAGGGACAGTACAGTCTGTCAATATACACACACAAACACACCTAGACCAACTGTATTGTTCTGTGGGTAAGCCAGTTAGTTAAAAAAAACAAAACTCAACAAACACGTCATCAACTGAACTTTAAACAAATCCCAAACTATTAATGGCTAAGAAAACTAGGATGCCAAAGGTTACCACAGCTAATTTATGTGTTGATGGCTGGTCTCCATGCTTCGCCCCATTCCAGAGTATCACCAATGAAGAGGATGTCAGCATTTGTTCATTTATTCCGTCTGTTTTTATGAATCAGTAACATAAGGCCACCATAAGTTTGGAAAAGTAACACAATACATTTTTTTTCATAATAACAGCTGCTGCTTCTGTGTTTACCTCAAACCCCAACTGAAGATTTAGGCCTGAGACCGTATGCAATTGAGCCACTCGATATTAAGTATATGTCACTTTTATATGTTTGGTGATCAGCGGGTATAGCTGTGTTGTTTTATGTCTCTTCCTTGTTTTAATGAAGCTAAGTTCTTGTTTTTCTTTTGTTTGTTTGGCTTTGGTTGTCATTATAGTTCTCAACTAATAACCATGTATTATACCTGAGTTTGTTACAACAATGCATCATCTTTTATTCAGTTAAATCACAGCTGTGTCACTTGAATCAAGGTAAAGCAGATGTGTATTTGGAAAACCTTATAAGCAGGTTATTCCTTGTTAAAACGCTTTCTTTATTTTTACAACTTCAACATAAAGAGGGAGTCATTAAGCAGGAATATGCCTTTTTTACAGGCATATATAATGTTATAAACAGTATGGTCAGCATTATTTATTTTTACAGGTTTATATTCAGAAATGTAAAGATGTGCGCTTTTATTTCAATAATAAAAAGTAATAAATGTATTTTGATCTGTTCTATTAAACTTATCCGGATATCAACAGTAGACATCAACACATACAAATTTAGCAAGTGAGTCTGGATTGGTTGTTATGGCAGCTGTTACCACGTTAACATGGTCTGTCAGATGCTCAGGGAGTATCCTGCAGAGGCCAAGGACCTGTGTGTGTGTGTGTGTGTGTGTGTGTGTGTGTGTGTGTGTGTGTGTGTGTGTGTGTGTGTGTGTGTGTGTGTGTGTGTGTGTGTGTGTAGGTGTGTGATTTTTCATTTTGTTGTTTATGTGCATATCAGCCACACCTCCAGTCTTGTGTATTTCTTCCACATTAGAGCTGATTCCTTGTTCATGTTTATGTGTGTGGAACAGATGCAGGTGTGGGACACGGCAGGTCAGGAGAGGTTTCGTACGATCACCCAGAGCTACTATCGCAGCGCTCACGGCGCCATCATTGCCTATGACATCACACGACGTCCCACCTTTGACTCAGTGGCTCACTGGATCAAGGAGGTGGAGCTCTACGGAGCGACCAATGTAGTGCTGGTTCTCATAGGTGAGTGTGGTTGTGACTGTTCACATGTGATTGCATGAATACAGCATTTGTGTGTGATCTTTGCTGGAGGGTGGACAAAATAACAGAAACATTTAAGAACATAATGTTTTTTATAGAGCAATAGCCCTGGAATAATATAATAATAAGGGGGTTGGGGTTTTTGCTGTTGCTGTAATGAACTGGTTGTCATAAACTAAAAAAAAAATTATGTATTAAATAGTTACTGTGTTGATGTAACCCAGCTGATGAAACTGATGTATATTGCATGTGCCTGTCTCAGTTGTCACTTGGGCAAACCCTGAAGGTTGTTTAAGGTGATAATTTAAATTTAAGTGCCTCAGTGAGGCTTTTTAAATGCTTTTATTAACATAGGTGGCATTGTTCTGCAGCAAAGCTTTAGAGCCTAATGTCAGAGAAATCTATATTTTGAGTATACTATGCTGCAAGGGATGGTAATAATACTCAGCTATGGTACTTTATATGTTGTGTGGGAAAGGCATCAATTCACTGGATCACTTCTATTTCCTTAAAATGACTTCAAACAAATGGCTGTTAGTCTTACACTTGTGTTTGCAGTTGTACTTACAGGACTGTATGTACACTTAAGAGTGTTGACATGTTGGCCTTAGCATGTAAATTAGGTGCACTGACAATACTATTAACAGAACTTTGGCAATACAGTCTCCTGTTGGATATTTAAGGTGATCTTGAGCTTTTGTGTTTACATCTCTACGCTCTCCATCTAGGTAACAAATGTGACCTGGAGCAGGAACGTCAGGTTCCATTTGAGGAAGCCTGCAACCAGGCAAAGGAGGCAGGCATACTAGCTGCTCTAGAAACATCTGCAAAGGTAATGAGCGTACATATAAAACACAAAAGAGAGGTTTTGAAGTTGGTTAAAATTGTTATTTAAAGTTCTCCTTCTCTGCATCCAGGAGAGCCAGAATGTGGAAGAAGCCTTCATGATGATGGCCAGGGAGCTGCTGGCTCGCAACGGCCTTAACATCCAACAGGGAGACTTGGAGAGCAACAACACACCTCGAGTTCTCCTCCGGGCTAACTCTCGTCCGGTTGATGGCATCACAAGTGCCTACACGCCACCAGAGAAGAAGACATGCTGCTGATTTAAACGTGGACGGGACAGGGGAGATTAGGAGGTGACTGATGTTGGAAATTAGGAGTTGACGGTGGATGAGGAAGAAGGTGAAGGGCACTTTTCATCATGAATGTTGGAGAAGAGGATCCGAAGATGCATGGATGTGGAATATGGCTGGAAAGACCTTAAGGACCATGAGTCTTTGCATTGAGGAAATTTTAGTATTGAAAAACTCAATTCAGTGTACTTTTCTGTGCCTTACCTGTGACAGTTGTTCAGCCGGTGCTACAAGGACTAAAACATCAAACCAGGCATGTTTAATGGGGGAATAAGAGACAGTGATGATGGCTGTGATCAGTGTTGGGTACAGTTACAGTAAGCCAATCTGATATCAACTATAGCTGGACTTTTCTTCCTGATTTGATGTAATATTACTGGCACCAAATGCTCTAGTAAATACGGTTACTATTCTTACTATATTGTTTTTGTTTTTTTAAATCTGAATTAAAAACTAAAGCATCAATGCAGTGGTTAGTTACCACAAAATGTAAGCATTACAAGCATTCTCAACAGGCCTCAGCGTTGTCCTTGACATCTTTGTGCTGTATTTTGTCAAAATGCTGTCTTCAAGCTTCACTCTGTCGATCAAACCTTTGAAAAGCTGAAAAGACTACTTTAGTATGCTAGACTATTTCACCCAAGTGACCTCTTGCGGTGCCTCTATGATGAGCTGTGATCCTCCGCTGATGAAAATGTTCTGGAGAACCTGCCGCAAGCCAGAAGACTGTGAATTTATATTTGACTTTCTCTTGTCAAATACATAATGATTCCTTGCATTGTCATACATGTCTCTAAAAGGCTGTGAATGTGTTCTAATTTTATTCTTTCAACTTCTGTGATCAATTGATACAATGAAGCAGGACAATGTTTGACTTTCTGAGCAAAACAAGGGTTAAGTTGAGGCTGATGTATACGAATGGGTGACAAATCAAGGGAAAACCACCATAAAGTGTCTAAAATTGTTGGGCCTTCAATGCATCAATGTGAACACTGGAGGGCACTGTGCTATTACACCTATATTCAACTGCAGCTATAACTACAACTGCAGATTGGTTGCTCATTGCCTTAGACAATGAATACCAAAGTGATTTAAAACATCTGTGAGTGCACTAAGAAACAATTAGCTACGTTTACACGCACCCCTGTAAACAGGAAAAATGTCAAATCACCTTTAAGGCTGAACTTTGCCAAGATCACTTCCTGCCAACACAGTCAAACTGAAGTAATTGAGCTGACAAGGCTTACATCCAGGATGTAATCTTTCTGTGTGTCTAATGCCAAGTTGGCAGGCCTTGTTTAAACACCAACCTGGAAGTCATGTAGCTGGACTTGACTGTTACTTTTCTTACACTGATACAGTTAACCTGCCTTAATGTTTGTTGGTTTAGTTATGAGTGGAGAAATCATGGGAACAATCCAGGTGTAGAGTTGTCCTTTTATTCAAAATGAAAATCCTGCTGACAAGCAATAAATGATCCATCTATGACTATAAAAATCATTTGTATTTACTTACTTAATTTGAGCAACAAAAAGTTAAGCTAAATTAAATAATCTGGTCTGTGTTTTAGTCCTTCCACGCCAGGAGGAAATTAATTATCCTGTTTTTAAATATAACAAAAGAATATGACATACTAATACCCATAACTAAGAATGAGAATCTGCATGAAGTCTGCTGTTGTGTGTTGGTCTCAAGCACACTGGGTGGCGCTAGTTGATAGTCAGTGAAGAAAAGTCTGTTTCTTGGGTGCATGCAATGCCTTTCATCTGCTGAAATGTAACCTGTGGGCACTTTTCAGAAGGAAGTTCCTTGATTGGGTTGCCAAATGCAAAAAACAATAACAAAACAAAAACTCTCAGCAGTGAAAGACTCAAAGTTTCCATCATCATCACTGTTATGGTCTGATATCAGGACATTTTTATTATTTGGCACCGTTAACCAATAATTATCAGCCATGATGCACTTGGCAGATTCCCAGTAAAGTGTATCTGGAAACTTACTGATTGAAACAGTGAATAAGTGTATGACGCAATGCATCTGCTTGCCGTCATATCTGGTGGCTAACTGCAGGTAAACGAGTTCAGTGTGTCTATCCAGATCTAGATTTTTGCTTTCCATCATGTCTGTCAACACATAGTAAAAAATAGATTTTCAGAAAAAATAAACCCAATTTTATTTCCAGAAAACAGGTAGACATTGTCAGACATTAATTAGTACAAAAAAGACTACTTAAAAAAAAAAAGTATATCCTGAACTCAGTATCAAAATTACTCAACAGAAATAAGAGAGCACCTGCAGTTTATGATGTGGAAAATTCTAAGAGACGTTTTTGGGGTTATTATATCTGATACAGACTGGTCTGGGAATGTTCTGCTAAAAAGATGGAGAAAAAAAACTCAGATTGCATCTCCTAAATCTTTGTTTAAAGGTAAACTTAGCAATGACATTGCAATTAACCTTTTAAGAAAATCTGAATGTCTAATTATAAATGTTAATTACTAAAAGACATATTAAGCACAAATAATGGATTTTATTCCAGAATTGTACTTTTACATGTCAAATCAAATCATTGAGTCTACCTTTATTAATCCATTCTTTAGCCTGTCCACAGACTCACTCACTCCAAACTAAACCACACCAGTCCGCTGATCCACCTCCATTCTAACTCAGCCTGATGATCTCAAACCTGTTGGGCTTCTTCTCTTTCAGAGGCCGAGGCAGACGCTCACTCTGCCTCTCGCTCGTCTCCCCCACCACCTCCTGTGCATCATTGTCCGTCCCCCCTTGTCCTCCCTGTCCCGTATCCATCCCTCCAGTTTGTTTATCCATGGGACATTCCCCGTTGTAGGTCTTGACGTAATCCTCGACGCGCCAGCCCTTGAACTCCTGCGGCTCGGAGCAGATCAGGCCAGTGTAGAAGACGCCAGGGTGGTGCTTGAGCCAGTAGATCAGGTAGTGGATGTTGTAGTCGCAGATCCAGGGGTTGTTCTCTAGCGAAAGCTTCCGTAGGAAGTAGAGGTCCTCCAGCACACCGTACTGGAAGTAATGGAGGCTGTTGTTGGACAGGTCGAGCTCACGGAGGTACAGCAGGCCTGCAAATGCAGCTGGGAGAGGAAAAAAAGTAAAGCAATCTAAGTTGGCATCTCATACTGCTGTCTAATTACTTAAACAATGTCTCCATGGACACTCCCTGGTTGGTTGCTTGTGTGGTTTATTTAAACCTGCATAAATAGATATTTTTGTACCACATAATTTAACATGATAATCACCAAAATTGCAGTTTCAGGGTTTTCAGTGGACAGCAGTGTTACGTGGTTATGGCATGTGTTCGCACTGAAAATGAACAAACACTTTTGTTGTCTGAACTGTGTCGAAACTCTTAAAGATTGCGGAGGGGTTTCACTTACTTAATGCATTAAATGCAAATGGTTCAAGTGGATTTAAGAAGTGAAATCTAGACCAACTGACCTGAATTGTCATCATTTTGATAATAAGTCATAAGCTTTATCTAGCTGTCTCTTTCATCTCCACTTATATGGATGTGAATCGTCAGACCTCTCAATCACCAAAATCTGCCTAACTTGAGTTAAAAAGGTACCTGTTAACATCCTTAAATAGTTCCAGACATTGTGACAGTCTGTGTAAAGGGACAATGTGGTCTCACACTGTCCACTAGCCTTAGGCCTAGCTTTGATCTTTACACAGCGGAAGAGAGGAGGGGAGGCAAATGGGAGCAGGGGAAGAAGAAGAGCGGGTAGAACATATAGTGGCAGATAAATATAGGGAGAATAAAGACATCACTGAGACAGATCTGTAAGAAAAAGAAAAATGGACACCAGGGACTAAACTCCTTCTGAAAACCATTTTCAATAATTGAAAAAATAAGTTTCTGTTTCCGCAATCTCAACCCTAAAGATGACACAGATAGAGGGAACTATAGCTGAGGAAGGAAAAAAGGAATGGAGGGACTGTTTCACGTCCCCCTCCCATGTCTTATCTCTTGACTCGAGAGACTTAGTTTCCCAAATCGGTACCGTTCATTAGATTAGTTTTGAGTCACTATGGTCACAGGAAGCCCAGTGTGCTCTACTTTCATGACATTTTCCCAAGCAATGAAATTAAGTGAAGCAATATTCACTCTGTGAATTATATTCACTTTTCAGGCATCATTGAATATTTTAAGAAAGGTCCACGAGTGAAATGAAATTATCGAAACCACTCTCACATCTGCTAAAATATGACGCTACATTAGCTTAGCACAAAGACTGGAAACCAAGGGTAACAACTAGCCTGGCTCTTTCAAACTGCAACAAAATCCACCAACCGGAGCTTCTTAAAATCACAAATATTATATAAACTGGCTTGTTTAATCCCATACATAAAACATGTAACTGTAAAAATAACAATTTGCTGTTTATGAAAGGTCTGGCTCCGAGGAGTAACTTCCTGGAATCTCTTCTGGATGCCTGGCAACAACCCAGCGATAATGAGATATAACATGTTAATAAGTGAGCTTTTATGCTACGCTAAGCAGCTGCGGGCTGTAGCTTCATACTTAGCATACAGACATGCAAGTGGTTTCAATCTTCTGATCCAGTTCTCTGCCAAAAAGCAAATAAACTTGCGGTTCCCAAAGCATCAAACTATTCCTTTAATGACCATACTTTAGCTAGTTTAAGTGACAACTCTTCCATCGTTGTTGTTCCATCTGTTCTTTGTTTCAAAGCATCCTTATCTCACCATCCTTGGAGACAGTCAATCTTTTGTCATGGAATAAATGCGAAGCAGAGAGCTAACACCCTAATCTCCAAGTATTTTAATCAGCACTTCTGCCACCGTTGCAGATCCATACAACGTAACACCCACTGAGGCTTTAAACCCTGCCATCAATTTTTCCAGCTTCAATGTACATGCATTAACATTCTTCGGGCTAACAGACAGATTGGCACAGAAACACAACCCTCATCCAACCTCAGCAGAGGTGATACATTTAGGATTTACCCCCCAAGCTTGCCCCACTCTGATCTTGGCAACAAGTCTCCATAACAAATAAACACAATTTTAAAGTCTCTAGTCACCATAACTACAGATATCTCTGTTACATACACCCCACTATTACATACTTGTGTGCTGCTTCGTTGTTACTTCACTTACAGTAACACAAAAGTAATGCAGGCAAGAGGGATCTTCTACAGGGACTTGACGAGTATTAAGAAATATTTTTTGCAGAGTTTGGAATTCCAGATGGGTGGGGTCCCCACATTGTGACAATTCCTAAAGTGTCAAGTTATTAGTCACAGGATATCGGAGACTTAATTGACCTTCTAATAAACTGTACTTTCCTATGACTAAATTACTGTTTTTTTTCTATTTTCGGGTTGGTCCTGTGAGGGAAAACCACAACAATTTGGCACACAAATTGGCCAAAACAAGCAATGAAAGACAATAGTAAATAATACAAGTGTGCCAGAGCTTTCATGCCTTTTCATTCATGTTCTTTTCTCTCTCTGTGGTCATCATCCACATGAAAAGCAGAATTGAACAACTTCTTGAAAATAATTCTAAACTCATTTTATTTTACTCCAAATGTGAACATGATTAGAAGGAGTAACCGAGATTGAAGCCACATGTCAATGGCTATCACAAGCTCTTAGAATTACACAGAACGTATTCTCCAGTTTCTAAATAGTCTTGGACGCACTGGAGCCAGCTACAGAGATAGATTGTTTACATATGTTGCAGGGTAATGAAAAAAACTACAAGGTTTTTAAAAGGATTTCCCTCCTGGGCAGGAAGACATGAGCCCAGACATCATTAGCCTGGAGAGAGTAATGAGTCTGCACTTTTTTAATGGTGTTCCTCTAATGCTGAGGCAGAATTAGTATTCAGAACAGATATTCTGCTTCAGTGAGCGCAATTAACTATGTTGTGTTTGCTGGAAGAAAGGCTTAATATTTTCTCAAACCTTTTCTTGATCTCTATTTTAGTATTGAGTTGCTGGCTAGTTGTTAAATGTGTCACATTTTAACTATACCGTTGCATTTTGTCGGGAGTGTTGAATGATAGTACATAGTATAATCATCTTTCTAGTGAATCACAGAGGTATCTATGGCTGTCTCAAACAGCACTTGGTGTAGTCATGCAATAGTGTTTAATTGTCATTTTAAGTGCTTTTGCAAGGCCTTCGGTATGGCAATATATCATGTGGCCCCTGGTTCACACACATCAGTGGCAAATGTGTTCCCTCTGATTATATATGCTGCATGTTTTGGTGTGTGCTAGGGCTGCAACTAATGTTATTTTTATTATCACTTAATCTGTCAATTAGTTTCTCAATGAATTGTTAACTGTTCCCTAATGCTCATGATAGTGTCCTCAAATGTCTTGTTTTGTCCACAACCCAAAGATATCCAGTTAACTGTCACAGAGGACTAAAGAAACCAGAAAATATTTACATTTGAGAGGCTAAAATCAGAGAATTTGGACATTTTTTTCTTAAAAAATGAAATAGCTGGCGATGACTTTGATAGTTAACAACTAATCGATTAATCAACTAAACGTTGTAGCTCTAGTGTGTTCATGCTCAAAAGGTTGCATTGCTTATCTTTGTAACTGTGAATGTGGCTTCATACATATTTGTAGTCAGTTTAACTTACAAGGCAACGAAAGAGTGATTTTTACTTTGAATATTTTTTAGGGGAAGATGTAAATGCATCTGGTAATTGAGGAAAAAAAGATAAAGACAAACATTTAACATGAATTTGTTGAGTTTTTTGTTGACCTGTCAGATTAATCTTGCGACCCCTTGCAAAGGCCTTGACCCCCAGGTTGGGAACCACTAGTTTAACCCACTGTTAGGTTGATTTAATCAGAAAGAATTAACATGTAATGTATAAGAAGCAAAAGTACTCATTAAATATGACTTACCTGCCAGCCAATCAAGTATCTCTGTGGCTATTGTATAATGTAATTTAGTGCCGAGATGTCTGTATTCAAGTGTGTGTGAGGTTGGTGGGGCTGTCGTGTTACCTGTGTCTATATGGTGCAGGCTGTTGCTGCTGAGGTTGAGCAGCTTGAGGTCTTTGGACAGCAGGAACTGTTTGGGCCTGAGATGTTTGATGCTGTTACTGGACAGATCCATCTTCACTATGTCAGATGGCAGGTCAGATGGGATGTTATTCAGATCTGCAAAGACGGAAAGACAAAGAAACATAGGTTCAAATGGAGAGAATAATGCACAAAGAAAACAAATCAAGATTCATTCCTGTATTCATGTTGATATGTTTACAGGATTAAGGAAGATGTGGACAACAAATTAAATCAGAATACAAAGCGCAAATCCCCAAAATCATCAGGAAAGCTGGAAATCCAATCTGTCTGCATCCTTATACATTTTCAAGATGTTGTGTGGGTTGTGTGCAACATTGAACCTTTTCAAGATGGAGGTCTAGAGTGACAGCATGTGTAACCATGTTTCACTTCTGTGCCAGTGAGTGTTTTTGCTCTCTTTCAGTGTTTCCACCCCCCCGATGTAAGAATGTCTAATGTACGAAACAGTGATTCCCACATATTCCCATTTCGATAACAGATCCTCTCTGGAGTTTTAAATCAAAGTCCCACGCTGAGGCACATTTTACAGATGCAATATCCCTGCAATGTTGGGACAGTTAAAATAAAGATTTGTCACTGTCAACACATTTTTGTACCATAGCAAGAAACAACAAAGCTGGAACTAGAATCTAAAAATGTGGAGCTTTTTCACAGACAATAAATAGATCCAGATTCATGTTAAGACCCTGATTGCACAAGTTCTACTTTTGGGAGTTCAGAAGCCTCCTGAAAAAAAAAAGCATTTTTGTGGATTCTGAATTGGTTTTGTTGTTCCCACACAGTCACTAGACTTGATTCACCTGTCAGTGTCTGTACAAACAACCGCCTTTAAATTGGACATCATATCTGTTGTTAAGTTTGTATATGTTTTTTTTGTTTAAAACTGAGTAGGTGGCCCCTGCAACCTGTATCATCAAAATGAACATGTTAATTTTGATATAAAATGACTGCTTTATTTTGTAGAGAAAAAAATTTGTACAATATGCATGCAGCAGTCATGCCTGTGGACTAGTTTCCTGCATGTATTTATTTACATGGACTGTATAATTTGGTCAGAAGAATGCTTATGGACACTTTTACGGTGCAGATGTTGCAGTCTTTATGAACACACTTTACTGCCACAGATGTTGTAGCTGGTTATCATGGAGGCACGGTGTCATAAATCCTCAGTGACTCTAAGAAAATAAAAATACACACACAAACACACACACTTATACAGCATGCGCACAGATGTAGCCGATGCACTCAGGAAATGTAATTATTATTGTTCAGTGATGTGAAGCACTGCTGGTTGTTGAGTGTGCAGCAGGCAGAGACATTTACAAAGGCAGAAACACTTAGGTTCCAAAAGCTATCAGTCCTCTGCCGTGAAGTCTAAAAGAAATCCCACACTGCCTTAGGTGTACATGTGTCTGCAACTTTGTCCAAGCACATTTTCAGATTAGAAAAAGCTGGAAAAATGCTGGCACTCTTACGTATCAGACTCAAATTCCCAGGCTCATGAGAAATCAGACTTCAACCTTTTAGAGCCAAAAAACAAATCCTCACAGTCCAGGAGAGATGCATCTGGTGTCTGTGTTTTACAGTGAATGAGGATAATACACTGTGTATTCAGCAGTGACAGTAGGCTGAAACTGCATAGGTCATGTATGTGACCAGTAGGACCAGTTTTCCTCTGGGTATAAGAAAAAAAAAGTTGGGCCAATTATGGAAACAGAGCTGTTATCACGCTTATTAACTTGATTTGCTATGTTACGTGTCCCTGGCTCTTTTAGCATTGCTTCCACGTGTTTTCAGGAAGTCAGCCATTTTTATCAGGAGCCTTTGGGATATCTTGTGATTTTTAATGGAGCAAATCTTGTAGATAAAGTGCAAAGGCTTTTCCTACTTTAACATCTGTGCCTCCTCAGAGCAAACTGTTGAATGAAGAAAAAACACAGAGAGAATGAGACAGAGGGAGAGCATGTCAGGGAAGTCATTCATTCATAACTGGGTTTGGATTGGGTTTAATGCTGAATCTGCTGCAGTCATTATTTCGGGGAAACACATGAACATCTGTCCCTCTTGGTACTACCTGAGAAATTCTCTCCCTTTTTGGAAATGTTTTCACTGACAACAACTCTGCTTTGAATTTAGTTTGGGCCATTGGCTGTTAAATTTCTGAGTGATTTCCTCTATCTATCCTGTGGAGTCTAAACTATAGCACCTGCTTTATGTCAAAGCTGCCGAGTTTGAATTACTTTCTGCAACAATACATCCTATGGAGGTTCCACTATAAGTTAAACACATGTAGGCCGTGCATTAGTATAACGCGTTGCAGTAAAGGTACAGCAGTATTTACATAGTTTGAAGAGATAGAACTAAGCTATTTCCATGATTTAGTAGTAGTGCTGAACATTAATTGAACATTTATCTACATATACTACTCCAGAGAGCATGGGTTAGCAATGCTGATGAATTATATGTGCACATAGTGTTAAGGAAAAAAGCTTTCTTCACCATAATATTATATTCTGTAAAATGTCTGCTATATTATTATGCTTTTTTTTGCAAAAGGTGAAGTATACAGCTACAGCTGGAGGATATACTTCATTTGTGCATCAATACCAATTCCATTTGGAGCAGGTGGTGCATCCTGTTTAGACAGTAGAAAGGGAAGCAGTTAATTTTTTACAGTGTTGACATGATTACTCTTGGGTCAACTGTGCGTAATGCAGTGAATTTTTGGGGTTTGGACCCAAGCCCTAGGCTTGACAGGGGGACTGATTTCTTGACGTGTTTTCTTCACTAGATGTGCTGCAAAGAATTAAGCAGCAATAAACCTTTCGAACTTTAAACATATTTCATGTGAGGTCACTGGCACCTCACTGTATTCATTATGACCCTACAGAGTAGAGGTATATTGGTAGCAGAGGAAGTATAGTAGAGTCATTTTAGTTAACATGCAGCCTTAGGAAATGTGTTGATAATATTCTGTTAAATATTTTTAACTACACAACTTATTATCCTCACACCCAGGCTGAAGAAACAACTTCTGAGAACTGTGTGTTAGGATCTTTTATATCATTAGCACCTTCAAGGGTGCAACCTGTCAACATCCACCATAATTGCCCCCTCTGTTTCCAGGCTCTGGATTTTGCAATGCAGATCATGTTTGGACTTTATGTAATATACATAACTCTCTGTCATCTTTCAGACCAAATATATAGAGGCAGAGGTGAAGCCTTTTCTAAACACGCTGACAACTCTGTTTATAGGATATCACGATTACAACGACCAGATTAGTGCCTGTAGTCATGTCCTCCCTTACAATGATGGTTTGAGTCATGCTACATTTTTAAAAGAGGTTTATTGCCTTAATGCTTTAACTCAGAGTGACAACAGAAGAGAATAGGTTTCTGTATTAGACTGACTTTCTTTCCAAACGGGTGTGCATGAAAACTATACTTTGTTTCCTAGAGAGTACACAAGATCCTCGCTTGGCACTATGGTGGTACAGTATTATATGTCAAAACCAAAAATCTGACAGCATGATCAGAGATTTGGGCGTGTTATGCTACTAGCAGCTTTTGTAGCCTTGAGTCATTAGCCTCAAGCAGGCTACAGAGGTCTGGTGAGCTCACTTCTGTCTAAGTCCACAACCCTCAAATTGTATTCTTTTTCAAATTTGTAGTCTTCAGCCCCAACCGACATCACTTGAGGCAGTTTATCAGACTTCACATGGCTCCCTTTGGAGCCATAAAATACTTTAAGCAACTACTTTTTACCAATGCATTGGGACCTGTAAGCAGACTTTGATGTGGCTGTACAAGAAGGTACATTTTTCTTAAGTAAAAACTAGTAAAACTCCATACTTGTAGATCATAATGAACACATCCAGAGTCTGCTTTGGGACTGAGAACAGTAAGTGCCTCTTTTTGCCCACATCACTATGACAACGGTGTCTTGGGAATAACAAAATAAAGAAAAATAATCAAATTATAATCAATCTATTGTCATCCAAGGTATATCCATCCAAATCCTGATTATTTAACAGTGGAGGTAACTGCCAACTTGTTCAGTTATATCATAACAATTTTAGGATACCATGGTGTATTCTCACAATGTTTCAGTGACCTTTTCACCTCTGTGTGAAGAATTCCTTTGGGAAACTCTGAGCCCCAGACGTTGTACAGTTCCCATTGCAGACAGGACCTTTAAACTACTGCAGGAAAACTTCTGGCAGAGTCTGCAGCTAAATCCTGCTGTTAGTAGAGAGTGATGTTTGATACTTTCCTCTTTTCTCATTTATGCACTCTACCTCTACCTCTCGCTCAAATGACATTATGGAAGATTAAGTTTTTATGCTGACTAAATGCCCGCGGTCTATGATCCAGGCAGTCCATGGAGACCCTGACATAATATCATGAGTGTGGGTGTGTGTGTGTGACTGGGAAGCAGCCAACTCACCATATACATGAGTCACTTTTCTGTTTCCTTTCTCAGACGTCCAGAAGTTAATATGTAGGATTTATCTTACTTCTGAAACCAATGATTTCTTGACCTTTGAGCACAGTCTTGAAGGCAGAGTGATTTCATATGCAAACATTATTTTTGTATGCTAAACCTTTTCTATGCTCAGGTTACTTTTTTGGCATAGCTAGCAAGAGATTTGAAACTTAGCTTTAGGCTAATACAAAAAATGTTAACGTTTATGTTTAATGTTGTATATGGTCCACGTTGGATGTAGTAAAAATATCACAACCAAATTTACCCCAGCAAGTTGCTGTATTTCTACTGAAAATATTAAGCTATAATGACATTGTGGCAATGAATTGGCCCCCGCTGCATTAAAAAAAGAGTAAGAGTATAAAAATAGTATTATTCCAGGGTAAATTTAGAGTTCAACAATGTCTCCACTGTGCAAAAGGGACTTAAACAGAAGTAATTTGAAGGCACCTTTTGATATTTCCACAGATTTCCTCCCTTCTTTTCTTTCTTGAGAAACACAGCCTTAAGAGCTCCCATATTAACTCTAACCACTGTGTATACCATTGATCTCCAGTGAGATTGGACCGTGGAGCCTGAAATCTGCTGTGGTTCACCTCAGAGAAACAGCCTTAAAACCAGAGTGAGGGAGACATGGAGAGAAAGAGATAGAGAGGACGAAAATATAGGGTTTGGAGAATTAAACATCAGCGTATGTTTCCACTCTTCTCTGAGTTTTTGAATTCTCACTCCCTGCTTGCTTTCCATTCCCATATATGACAGAAAACTTGCCCATATTTGGAAATGCATTCAGCAATTTTGCATTTTGGTAAGATGTACTGAATGTAAGTATAACTTTTGTTTGTTTATAAGGAGAAAAAAAACTATTCCAGCCCTGGGGTACATAAAATAGGCACAGTGAGTAAAAGTTGGGGTACCACTAGGAGCCAACAGCACATTCTTTGCCCTGTGGCCCCCTAACAACATCCCTGTGGGATGGAGAGACACTGTATTATAGAACATGGAGAGATGAATGATGCTCTGATTCTATAAAAGCCACTCCTCACTCATGGTAAAGTCATTCAACTCCATATTAAATATTTAACAACACAATTTCACTGAAAGAATGCTATTCAGTATGCATGTGGATATCATATTGTATTAGTTAACCCAAAGTTTTCAAAGCTATATAATACCACAGCATACCAAACTTTGCCAGCATCTGTAAGTGTTTAGATTCTTGAACAGACAAAAGGCAAAGAGAAAACATTATGTGCAATGATATAATGTACCTGTTATTAGATTTTACACTGATTGACAGCTAATACAACCAATGCAGCTAATGAAAACATTGGTGTTAGAATGCAGCAGAGTGAAAACAACTAAATTAAAAGACTCCAAACCTCGACTGGTATCATCTTTCAGTACAACTATATGGGAGTCCTTGCAAATCAAAAGCACAAAAACCATGTATTGAATGTCATTCACAACGGCTGTAGTATATTAAGCAACATTCACACATCACATATCGCTTTCGCGGTGGGGCATGGTTTAGAAGGAGGCAGGATGTAGAGTTATTACCAGGCATAAAGAAGAGGAAGGGATGTGGAAAGATGGATGTGGGAATCAGCCTGTGAGAAAAACAGAGAAACCTTACAGTGGTTCAGATAATGAATCGATTCAAAAGTCCTACTGTAGAAAAAAGAATTAGGAAAATATGCAAAAACTGTCCTCAAGCATTTACACAACACAGATGCTGCATTGTGTGGTTTTCGCTTGTGGGTGCTTTGTGAAAGATTGCTTTCTGAGAAGGGCATAAGCTCTCCATTTATAGATGAATTCAATTGCTCATTTAAATTGGGGCCTCACTTTGGTCTGAAACATGGACACAGACAATCTTTCAGTTCAGTGTGTTGACAGCGGATGCTATTTGGGTGTGAGAGGAGTCATGTTTTAGTGCTTTGAAGAAGAATGAGATAAAGGGGGTTTGCTGGACAGAGAGAAAAGGGAGAAGATGAGAGAGCAACTCGAGAATAGAGAGCCCACATAAAAGTAACAAAAAGTGATCTGTCGGCACAAATTCAGAAATTGTCATCCCTGCCTCCAGTCTGTCTTTGAAAAGCAACACTGAAACACATTTTTTATGGTACACTGGAGAAAGTTACAGCCTCTGATAGCAGCCTCAGTGGCATTTTTACAGAGAGAGAACCAGATGTCAAAGCTGAAGGAGCTGAAAGAAAGTTGGAGAAGCTTGCTTTCCCTTCTCTAGACCGATGCCTGTCTGTTTGCATATTTTCTGCAGCACTGTACCCATGCTGACTCAGTATTAAAACTGAAAACTTAAACAGATTGAGATGCTGGTGGTTATAAGGGCCTTCTAAAATCTGCAGAATAAGAATAAGCAATGAACACCACAATAGACCACACAAGAACATAAATATACCACAATACAACTCATCAAAATGCCAATGCTCCATGCACAAAAGCCCCAACTTTTACTCTGACCTTTAACCAAAAGCTGCTGTGCGCTAATTTGCGGGAAAAAAGCAAGAGTTTGAAAGACCAGACCACAACCAGCCCCAAACCTGCTCCCTCCCCCTTCCCCATTGAGGTTCAGATGCCCCACATGGCAGACTTAATAAAGCAAACACAACTCTACTTGCTCAGCCTGGATTTAACCAAAACATTAGACAGCAAACATGTGCCCAATTTCACTGGACGAGCAAGCACGACTCTACTGAGAGCTGAGCAAACCTAACAAACGCGCCTTTTATACGAGGCACTCTTCTGTCGGGGGAGTCTATTTGTTATTGATATATTTGGAAGGAAAATAGTTTTCGTCACACATGATAACCACTGAATAAGGAGAAAGGCTTCAGCTTCACCACACAACAAGACTGGTTGATTTCACTTGAGATTGGTTGCAGATGATCCGTTTCTAATGCAGAAAAAATAGGTTGATTCTTTGTGTGAGTTTATGCCAGCATGCTAACAGTGGCTACTTAGTACAACAGTACAGCTAGGCACAGCTGAGGCTGAGGGGGATGACATTAGTTTTGCTGCTATTAAAGGACTAGTGTGTAAGATTTAGAGTGATCTATTGGCAGAATATGGCAGGAATGGAATATAATATCCATAAGTACGTTTTCATTAGTGTGTAATTACCTTTAAAAAATATATTTTTTAGTTTTTTGATACCTTGGAATGAGTCTTTTATCTACAGAGGGAGTGGGCCCTCTTACACAAAGTCTGCTATATTTATCCACCAGAATGGACAAACCAAACACTGACTTTAGACATGTTTTTAGGGAGTTTAGCAGCCACCGTAGTTTCTCCTATACTCTTGGAAGGGGAGAACGGCACCTTTAGATGCCACTAAACACTGGACCTTTGGTCCCTTGATCATAAAACAGAGAACTAACAATGACCCCACTGTAGATGATAAAATTGCCTACAGCTGCTTTAACTGTATTATACACTGGTCATGTGTCAAACAGGTTGTGTGTTATCAGCTATCTTGCATTCAAAGAATGTCATCTGTGCTTCACATTTTAAGTTTTACAACATTTCAGTAAGTTTTATTGTGACACTAGTAGTCTCACCTTTGTTGCTGCAGTCCAGCAGAGGTTTGGGGAACATGTAGGTGTGGCACATGGACGTGGCCTCTGGCTTCACTTTGAATGGTGGAGGCCTCGGTTGCCCTCCCTCTTCGACCCCCGGCCTCCTGTCCACCTGGTTGTCATTCGCACACAACAAGTCCACATTCAGCTTCTTCAGCTTCTGGCCCCTCAGCGACTGGGGCTCCGCACACTTGGCGTAGTTGCCCAGGTTGCGGTTGCTAGGCACCTGCAGGGCCCTGACCAGGCTATCCAATGAGCAGTGGCAGCTCCAGGGATTGTCATAGACACGGAGGTAGGTAAGGCGGGACAGAGGGAGCAGGATCTCCTCGGAAGCTGTTTTCAGTCCGTTGTGCTGGAGGAGTAGGGTGGTGAGCTGCGAGAGGCCGCTGAACGCTCCATCCTCTACCATGGAGATGTCGTTCTGCTGGAGGTCCAGGCTCTTCAGCTGGGTGAACTGGGAGAACATGTTGTCCCTCAAAACCTAGGAGGGGAAATGTGAACTCTTGGTGTTAATTTCTTGTCAAAAAATGTATGTTGTTGACAATTACCTGCAGCACTGGATGGATATATGTTAATAAACTGTCTAAATTACTGTATTCTGTATTTGTTAGTTGACTAAATTATTTCATTTATCATTCATCAAGGCTTGTCATCACATTGAATTAATTTACTATTGCATTACACGTTTGGCCAGTTCATTCACTTACTCATTCATTCAGTCAGTAATGGAAAGCAACAAACACTCAGGGTTTTCTAGTGATAAAGGGCTGTCTCCACTACTGAGTGAACATTACTGTGCAATCAGCAAGCTAGCTTGGCAGCACAATGAGCTTTTAGTAGAAACCAGATGTACACTGTATGGACGAGCAGTGAACTATAAGGACTAATGACCTCATTTGCCAGGTCATTAGACTGATTTGACCAATGACAGCCCAGCAAGTAGTTCTTTCATTCAATTAGGTGTAAGGGTTCATGTTGATCTCTGAATGAAACAGGATGCTTTTGGTCTCCACATACCCCTGGGGCGAATATTCAGATCTCTGCTGGATGTTCCACTATGTTCACCAGCTAGTTGCTTACTTTGCCAGTGCCTTTACTAAATTCGCTGAAACACTGCATAGAAGTGGAACTGCAGAGGTAACATTTCTCTATGAATTCATCACAGTCATTTGACCCATTTTTATATAAAAGTAGACAAATTGCAACTTTAAGTACAAATTGCAGGATATAGCTTTAATACTAATAAAAATACTGTTTTAATTAATACATTTAAAGGTTCTTCATTTTATGCCAAATCCAACAGGGGCAAAGATAAGCTAAAAATACAGTAAAACCCACATTATTCATTCTTTCCCACACTACTCATTCGTTCAACCCAACTCTTTGAAGGGTGAAAGTAAAGCTTAATTAAAAAAGTTTTTCACTGATTTGATCAGTGTTTATAACTCATTCATCTTTTATTATTTATTACCTCGCTCGCAAACCATTTTGTTTTGTTCCTCTCAACACCTGTGACACACACATCCTGTGTGCGCACTCCGACATTGCAAAAATCTACTCACACACACACAGAGCAGAAAAATGTGTCTTTGATCTCGGCCCCGAATAAATGGTGCACAGATGCTCATGGTATCAACAAGCTGGCTGGGTTTAGGGTCAGAGTAACAGGCTTGAGAACTAACTCGCAGAAAATTGATGCATTTGTACTAGAAAACTGTACTAGACAGGAGAATTTGTTCATTATTGTTGGTGGTGTCTAAACTGTAGCAGCTGCTCTGTGTCTTGCCTCTTTATGTTTGCACTGTGCATGTGTAAATTGTCTGTACGTACCTGAATCTTATTTCTTGCCAACAGCAGATGGTGAATATCTTTGGGCCAGTCCTGCATCACGGCGGTCAGCTGCCTGTCCTGGCAGTCCAGGTACTTCTCTCCTGCCTCCATGTATTCCTTACACTCCTGAGTTTGACGTCTCATCACTCCAGCCCTGCCTCTGCCCCGTACACGGCCTCTAGCACCCCTCTCCACAGCCCCTGACCGAGGGCCTCTCCGGGGCTCAGCTGTCCGCAGGAGCAGCAGCAGGAGGAAGAGGGTGGTGAGGAGACGCATGATGGGATAGGAATAGAGGCCTCTTGGTAACCAGGTCAACCTTGGAAGACTGTCGTTGGATGATTGGTGTGACAGGACACAGGAGGCCGGTCACAGCTGTGTATATGAAGAGAGAGAGAGAGAGAGAGAGAGAGAGAGAGAGAGAGAGAGAGAGAGAGAGAATTTTCAACGGCCAGTTCTCATGATATATCCATTTAGTTGACACTTGAATCGCTGCTAATGAGGTGTTTTATGTGTTGAAGGACATTTTGAAGACAATGGCCATATTTGGCTGTAACTAATGATGACACACAAATTGTAAAAAAGGACCAAAAAGTTTGTCAGAAACACAAATAATGCACAGATAAAATAGAGACAATAATTTCATTATTATAAAAATGAGTTTTATATATTCTGAGAGCAAGATTTTAATCATTTTATTCACAAATATAATAAAATGTAGGATTTTTCTTGGTTGCCCGCCAAGACATGCCGACAACTGAAATAGTATCACTGCACATGTTGAAAGAATTAGTGGAGAGGTAGAGTGAGGGGAAAGTGGAGAGGAAACAGGAAAAGGGGTTTGGAGGAAAAGAAAGGGACATTTGTTACATGTTATGGGTTAAAATGTGGTCGTAGTAAAGTGCTGTTCTCTATCCGGGATACCCCATGAACGTTTTCTACCTTCAACTAAACAGGATGTTCTCTCCCTGGCATTAAACATGCCTTTTCTCTCTACCTTTAGTGTTCATTGATGGTTCTTATATGGCCCACCTCTGTCTTTCTGTGCCTTCATCTTATTGATTCCACCTCTCTCTGTTTTCATTTTAGTCTCTTATTGATTATTTATTCTCAGACATCCGTTCACTTGCAGGATGTTTATCCCTTGCAAAACAAGTTCTGTCTCCGATCAATATGGGCTGTTATCTGAATTTAAACCAGCCCTGCCTATAATGTATGCCGATTCCAAAATGACTCAGTGTATGAGCGTTATCTGATCCCCCACTACTGGTTAAGTGTAGGCAACTAAACCTAAACTTAGCGAAAAGAATTGTTTGACATTACGCTAGTCTTGTTGTAACCATGAGGTTGCCAGGAAACCAGCGGATAAGAAATACCCGGGCAAGAAATAGCCCTATACGTACCCAAGCCACACTAGCTGTTTCCAGTCTTTCTGCTAAGTCAAACCCAACCTTCTTCCTAAGAGGTTTTATAGTGGAATAACAACTTCACACTACTTTCACTTTTGCTACTGAGATGACAGTAAATATTGACATGACCTCAAACGGTCTATAAACTTAATGTTTAAAGGGATAGTATAAAAAATTGGGAAATACACTTACTTGCATGAGCCACTTGGCATCGTAGCACACTGTACTAACTGCTTTTATTTTAGTGATACATAAGTCACAACTTAGTAATGATTTACATTATAACTGGGCTATGTTTGAACTTCCTTGCAGCTGGTGCAACAGGCTCAAGTTTCCCATCTTTATGCTAAGCTAAGTAATCCAGCTGTTACCGGTAGCTTCATATTTAACAGAAAGATATGAAAGTGGTGTCAATAGCCTCATAGTTTGGCATTTCCCAAAATAAGAAATTGCTTTAAAAACTCTGTCTCTCTACTCCATGTGTCTTTTTCTCTCTCTTCCTTGCAGCCTTGCTGTTTTGCCATTTGTACCGCCAAACTGTGAAACAAACAGCAGCCACAAATATGAAAACTGGAACACTGGAGACATTACTATTTATGGGTTAATAATGATGGTGATTGACCTTTTTTGCCACATAGCCACTTGTTTTGGCTCCCTGACTATGTGAACATGTCTGTGTGTGTGGGTGTGTGAGCACATATTATGGTAAAAAAAAATAAAAATGAGTCATGGGTCCCTTGTGTGATTAGAGGCAAAATGGCAAGTTCAACAGGTCTGCCAGGACACCATACACACACACGCGTGCACACACACTCACACACTGTTCACGCTGACTCAGTCCAACTGTACCAAACCGCAGCCCCCTTACAGTGTTCCAGTGGAACAAGCCTGTTAATGCAGATGGTGTCGTTCCTTTGTGAACAACAGACTGGGCATGTTAGCTAGCTACAGACAGAAACAGCTGAGAATGTATCAGGGGACACACTTTCCAGTACATTGAGCGCTTCTCAACAGTCCAACTATCAATCGTCTCAAATGAAGCAAACATTAAAGTTCGATTTCCTTCAATGCAGCCATCACATGCAATAATACACTTCTAGTGAGCTGTTACATTAGACCTAACAAAAAATTCTTCTCAGCCACCATCTGTCACTGTGTGTATGAAATATATGTATTTGTGTCTTTATTCCTCTATATTTATATACGAGCATGCCCTTGTAAGTTTGAATGTGTGTGTTCACGTGCACGGGTACTGTACATCAACTGCAAGCACATGTTCTTGTGTCTGATGTATGGTTGTGCAGCTGATGAGAGACATGTTTCAACACAAGGCGAGACTTGTGCCAGTCCAAACACCAGACTAGACTAGACTGAGGTGGAAAGCATGTAGAGGGGTCCTGAGTGGACCCAGACACATCCTCCCCCTCTCTGTGTATAACTGCTTTCAAGTCATTTGGTCTGGTACATGTGGTTTATATACAATACTGTGATCCAACTGTACCAGTGGTCCTGTGTAGCTCAGTGGGTAAAGCATGGCACTAATACATACTCCACTACAGGGTATCTAGATCCTCTAGGAAACACATGATAATGACAAAATATTAGGGATGTATGGGTGACAAATTAAAGGAAAAACCAACACCACATGGCCATTGCAAACCTCCTGAACAGCTTCATTACTCTTTGGCATAGATTCTCCAAGTTTCTGGAACTCTACAGGAGGGATGAACATTATTTTTCCAAAGGATGTTCGTTTCCATTTGTGGATAATAATGAATAAGCTCTCTGATATCATGATATAAAGCATAAAAGAACATGCATTACATTTTCTATTTCATTAATTCACATGATTAATAAAGCCTGTCTTGTTCATCAATACCAACATTTGTAACATCTGGTTTACTGCTGTAGTGGTGAGACGACGTCTTAATCGGGAACAAAGATTAAAGGTGCCCTGTGAAATTTTCTTGTAAAAACACAAGTTATGTTTAAATTCAGTGTTCCTTACAAAAACGCATTTTGTGTATCCTTGGGCCCAATTGCATTTCCTGAAAACATTTGCTAAGCTGATTTTAAATACTGTATTGTTTAAATCTGTGTTTTCTAGCTTACAGTCGTCGTCGGCTTCTTCACTGCCTTTGTTTGGCACTTGGCTAAATTTAGCAGAATAGCATGAAACCGCATGTATTGCCTGCTTGTGCATCCTCGTGTGCATGCACAATACAACCAAAACAGGGACGCACCTATAAAAACATTACTCCATAGCGCTACTAGTGGTCAAAAACTCCACAGGGTACCTTCAATCTTAATTAAATCATGCAGTACATTTGTATGGAAGCATGTGTACTGCATTGCCTGCATTTGTTATATATTCAAGTTCTTCCTTTAATTTGTTACCCCTCTATAAAGTTATGGAAAAATTAAGAATAAGCGCTGCAATGACAGAAGCTGGTACATTTTAAATGCCACTATATTTCTAACATAATACCAATGATTACACGGCTCCTCCACAGGTGTCACTCATAATATGAAAGTGAATTTCATGTTTGAAACAAGCTAATAAAATTGTTCGCTTTCGTTACAAACAAAAAAGCATTTTAGCATTTTATCTCTACTTCCCTTTATAGTCAATGAACCATCTCCATAACCATTTGGACCAGTACTGATAGTGCTCAGCTCTTTACCACATCACAGCTGCATAGCAGGAACAGTCCAGCCCTTCTTAGAAAACTATCCATGGTCAGCCTTTATAATCCAAGACACATTCCAGCTGGGACCATAACAAACCCATTCAAGCCAAACCCGTCCCTGTGGTTCACCTCATGCCCATACCAGCCCGAATTAGCCCTTCCAGTCTAGTATTATTTCCCACCCCAGCTCCTTCTGGCCAGTCTATGGTGACCCAACGAAGCTGTCTCCCTGTGTCTGTAAACATCAAGCCGAAAGACCTCATGGTTCCGGTCAGCTACTTCCTCAGGGGTACCACTCTAAATACCATGCAGACTGTTGCCACCGTCATTTGTGCTGAACCAGAATAAAGTTTGGTCTGGACATAAAATGTGGTAGCAACATGTCTCTCATTTTGGACCATGGAAAAAATGGGCATGTGGGAAGAATCAGAAGCCTTTTTGAAAAGATTTGTTTGTCATATATGTGCAACTGTGAATGATGCATATATAACCAGAAAAACCTGTGACATAATGGATTATACTCAATTATCTTTAATTGCATATAGCTGTGATAAGCAAATTGGTGTCTTCCTCTTGGGTTGTTTTTAGCCATGCTAATATCATGGCTCTGGGCGTGGCAGTCTATCCAGGGCTTATTGTCATGAAATCTTGTACAGACATTCATGGTTTCAAGACAGTGTATCCTAATAACTTTGATGATCCAGGAAAATATAGATGCATCTAATGACTAATGACATTTCCATCAGCCACAACTGTACTTTGCTACACTTTAGCTAATGTTAGCATGTGAAGATGTGAAACTAAGATGGTAAACATTATACACGCTTAACATCAGCTGATTAGCATTGCCTTTGTAAATATGTTAGTGCAGATGTTAGCATTTAGCTAAAAGCAATGTTGTCCCCATATACACCTCACAGAGCTGCTAGCAGGGGTGAATACTCTTATTCTTTCAGGATTCTACCTAACAAATACTACAAAGATTCTAATACCAACATGGTCACATACTTTTCATAATCTAAATGTTTTTCTAAGTAACGTATTTCTCAAACTCTAGCTTTGACAAATCTTATGTCTTCATTGTCTGAAATCCGAATGAAACAGAACCCCCAGGATGAAAAAGTGAGTTACTTCTCCATGTCAAAGAGATCTCATCAATCATATTCTAGCCTTCAGCACTTTATGTAGTGCCATATTTGGCTGAGAGTTTTATCAGTTTGTTCACAGTTTAACAAAGGTAATGCATGCTGACAAGAGTATAGTTTAAAGGCCCCTG